GCTCTGGTTGCAAAGGAGCCACGGCCAGGTTGAAAAGCCTACAAAGATGAATTTGCAATATGAGGGGCATGTGACAACTTAACTTAATAAGTCACAGTTAAATAATGTCTCACCCATCTAAGAAAGAACTATAGACAAAGTAAAACTAAAGAGATCCCTATGAAATGTTGAGGTTAAAACAATTATTTTCGGTTAAGGAACATTTTATGCATGTGAAAACAATCCAATCAAAGACCAAGAAAATTAAATTAAAAATGTTCTGATAAAATTTAACTGATAGTTAGAAGAATAAAATAAGTAGCAGACAAACACAAAAAGTAATGGTTGGATGTAATTTTCACTTTCTTCATGGAGATAAATAATGGGAGCACTTATCAGCTAGGCTTTTTACCGTCTCATAGCATTGTAGATAACATTAAAAATACTTCAAATAATAGTGTAGGTAATTAGCTATGGAAATTTTGTCACATATTACAATATCAAACTGATATTAACTCCCTTGTAAAAGTGTAATCTCTCAAACTCAAGTTTTAAATTTCAGCATTGCTTCTGAAACTATTCCAGCGGCAAGATCTTTCCTGGTCTAGCATAAGCCAAGACGACTCATTGAATAGTCAACATTCATGCTTCATATGTCACACCATAGCCACATAGTAAACAACATCCTTCACTAATACATGTACAGATTAAAACTTACCGGAAAACAGAGTCAGAAGAAAGGATTCCCAAATGAGTATCACTGTAAGGGTGCCATAATGCTTGTAACACACGAATATCATTGCCACCAGTGTAATATGTCTGAGAACCAACGGTAATAGTCCTACAACAATATATCCAAAAAAAATAAGGTAAAAAAAAAGGCTCTGATGGTAAGGAGAAGTTCACAACTCCACCAACATCAAAATAATTACACTCGTTAAAATTTGGAGTATTGCTACATAGAGACCTTCACAATGTACACACCTAATTGACATTTTTCATTTCTGATGGTAAGGAGAAGTTCACAACTCCAATAACATCAAGATAATTACACTCATTCTAATCTAGAGTATTGCTACATTGACATTAGACACCTGCGTAGTGAACACACCTAATTGACATTTTTTAATTTCTTCCTCTCTATGTTCTTATCATGTCTTATCACCTACCATATCTAATCTACCTTTCTCTCTCATCTATCTCTATCTCTCTCTACGATTCTAGCAACAAATAGGTTCCGTTCCATGCATCATTTTCTTATAATTCATAACCATCTCCCTCTTCCTAATGCAATGCACCTCAAAATTAAACTAGAAGATCCGATAAAGATAACTTGAACACTATCTATTTTAATAAACCACGAAAATTGAAGAAACATCAAAACGTATTAGTGATTTGCGCTCGGAATGGTACCTGCAAATCAAGTTAACGTCCTTCTTAGAGGTGCGTCCGTAGAGGTACATAACACAGAGTCTCTCAGAGCCGAAAAGGAGTATCGCCGTTCCGTTCCTGTTGATGGAGATCTTGTGAACATCGAAATCGAGCACCGCGTCCGCTTGCAACACCTGTTTCAAATTCACAGAGCATCGGATTCGGTGTCCGCGAAAAGCTAAGCGCAGCAGAAGAGAGAGAAAGAAGGAGCGACCTTAGAAGGGGAAGAGGCGAGGACAGAAGAGGGATCGGGGTCGCCGAGGCGAAGAGAGAGGCGGTGGAGGCAGCGGGCGTTTGCGTCCCAGAAGTAGAGGCGCGAGGCTCCGTCCCAGGCGAGGAGGTTGCGGGGAACGGCGGTGGAGGCGGGGCGTGCGGTGGCGGTGAAGAGAGGGTGTTTGGGGAGTGGAAGCCATTCGAGTTCGTCTTTGGGAGAGCGGCTAGGGCTTGGTTCCGAGCTCGGGTCTAACGTGATTCTCATCCTTCTGCTTATTTCTTTCTTCCTTCGTTTTTCGCTTTCACCTTAGCTGCTTACCAACTTCAAACTTCAAACCCTCACTGCTTTTCTTTCCGTACGTAGTTCGTAGTCGTACTCTTCCCTTCATTTTGAAAAAATAAAAATTAATTAATATTATTTTTTCAAATTTGCTTTTTGTTCTTTTAAATTTAAAATTAATTTTGCAATTCTGTAAATTGAAAAAATATATATATATTATTTTACTTTCTTTGTTTAAATGTTGTTTGTAAATTGTCACTTAACTATTTTCAATATGGTAATACATAAGGTTTTCTTTTTAATAAGTACTTAGTGCGTGTTTGGTTTTACGTTTGAAACGTGAAAAATTACGTTTAACGTGGAAGCTACATATATTGTAGCTTCCACGTTAAACGTAATTTTTCACGTTTCAAACGTGAAACCAAACACAGACTTAGAATATTTATGGATATTTCTCAAAAATGTAAATTTTAAAAATAAATAATTTTAAACATATATGTATATTAAAATATTTATACTTTTAAAATAAATAATCATTACAAGTACTTATAAGTTTTACTTTATCAATCATCTTTACCTCATTATTAACTGGGGTACATATTTAACTATTCATTTAAAATTTATAGTAGATTTATCTACGAATATTCGCACAAACGGATTTTATTTTATTTTTTTCATCCTAAATATAAATATAGGTATGGTCCATTAACTATACCAATTGATTTAAATGAGCTATCAAAATTTAGGTCCGAGATAATATGGCCATCTGACTCAAATTTTAGCGTGAGTGAGCTGGTCTTTCTTGAAATTATATATATTATCAATGTATATTTTAATATTAATATTTTATGAATGTTGAGTTTTTTTTTTTAGCATTTATTTATTGTTACAGTTAATACACTTATTTATTTATATTTTATGTATTACATTTTACAATTTTATAGTATAAAATATATTCTATATTTTCTTATTTTAGTTTTTAGTGATTATAAAAAAGTTATTAACTTACGATAAGAAAAAGTTATTTGTTTTAATATTTTTAATTTTTGTATTTTAAAAAATGTTTGGCCCGTTTTACTCTCGACCTGCTAAGGAATGGGCTAGGTCAAGAGAATTTCAGCCCAATATCAAATTTGCAGCCCAACCTGATCTGTAAAAGTGTTTGCCTGTGATAGATCAGTTCGAATGGACTATACTGGCCCAAATTAATAGCTCTATGCAAAACTGACAAAAAGAAACCCAGGCCATTAGGAACAGAGAGAAAACACAATAAAATATCTAAAAACAAGTCATTTTCAGTTCATTTTAAAACATATATACAACAAAAGAAGCAGAAAAATGTATCCACAGAATTACAACTTTAACGTATGACGATATTCCAAGAATCTCTCACTTATCTTATTATATATTTTTACATTCCTCTTTTATATTACAACTTAAAAATATTCCAGTGTGTGAAAGAGAATCTTTGATAGGAATTTTATTTCTCCTATCTCCATTTATAAAACAAAAATATTGAAAAGTTTGAGCCGAGAGGTATAAATTTAAACTCAAGTCATAATTATTATAAATAAAATATTTACTAAGTGAGCTGAAAAGCCAATTTGAGATTCCCTTAAAAATTAGAGTTGGGGCCTTGGTGGGTTTTCATAGTTTTTTTGTGTATGAAGCTAACTTATGACTTTTCTGTATATTATATATCTCTAAGGATTTATTTTTTTTACCAGGACACCAAAGAGTGAATAGGTATCCACTTCAAATTTGAGATAAATAATATTGGACAATACATTAATATTAATCTCTTCAAGAAGCTTGTTCTGTAAACTTCTGTATCTTTTGTTTAATGATGTATTGAACTGGTCCTACTATTAGAAGAAAACAAGATACAGATTGTTGAAGTTGTCAAATTTATTCATGGGTAAAACATGTCTCTCATGTCAAAACGCAGTTAATCTGAGTGGAATTGTGCTCAAATTCTTAAGTAAGATCTAAAATTTTAGTTTTTTATCAGATAAAAAATGTGATTTAAAGAAAAATTTATTAAAAATTAAGAGTCAAATTTTTTCTAATAGAGGTAATTATTAAAAAAATTGACAAATATTTCTCAACAATAATATAATAAGAAGGGAAAAAAAGAAAGTATAGCCAATCCAATGAATCTAGGTGTACCCTTAATATTTGGGCTGTCTTTAAATCAAATCCATACATTAGTCAACCAATTTCATGGCCGAGTAATTAGTCATAAAGCAACTTATCCCCAACCCAGAGCTTGTCCAGACCAATGAATTGAGGGCAAAGATGGTAGAAAAGGTGGGGTGGAAACAATCTTGCACTTTTGACGATAGAAAGTTACAATAAGGAGAAAATTATATATATTTTTTTTTATAATATGCTAAGGAAAAAATATTCTCTCGTGTGCATATAAGAAATTTTCTGAAAAAAATTGTAAATAACAAGTTAGCCGGAGCAAAGAAAGTTTTTCTTTCTTTTTTTTCTTTCGAGGGCTAGGCCTAACACAACGATTAAAAATAATTTTCATAAATTAATATAATCAACTTAATCAATAGCTAAAATATGTAATTATTATGATAGGTTATTAATTAAGCCTGACAACATTTGTTGGACGCAAAATCACCAATACTTTATGATTTATTTTATTTCTTAACGGGGATTAAAATAGAAAAGGGGAAAAACGTGAAAAGTTAAAATTAAAGAAATAAATCCCAGACTTCAAGGAGAGTTAAGAGTAAATGGTAATGTTTTATTATTATTTAAAAAGAAGAAGAAGAAGAAAATTGAAGAGCCTGTAAAAAGTTGGGCAAAATATTTTTTTAAACAGCCAAGCCACCATTTGCAAGTTAGGTAAACCTTGACATTTTATAAATTTTTATATTAAAAAATATCCTTTTTTATTATTATTGTCATTGTGAAATGTGAAGCCTTTAATATTTATTTTAGGACCATCATATTATGATTATTATACGTAATACGTAGCACAATTTCATTTCAAAATTTAATTCGAAAGCGTGGAATACGTGCACGAAAACGCCAACTTAAATAATCAAGATATAAATCCCATGAATGCTTAAACACCAAGTTAGTGCTAATTAATCAAGTACACATCTTAATAAGAATCCAGTACTATAACAATCCATTCACTTTTATATATACAAGAAGATATACACGAAACAATTGCAAAGCAAAAATATATAAGAATAACAAAACAAAAAAGTTATCATAAATGGCCAAAGATGAACCTCTATCGTACACAATAGTATACCTAAACACCATTCAACAACTTTATGTATCATGGTAGCCGTAGAGTGTAAACTATAAACCGATGTATCAAAGGTTAGAAAGTTAGGTGTCAAGGTTACTGGCATCCTTTGGATAAACCTGAAATAAGAGAAGAAAAAAGTAACAATTAGGTTTCTGGTTTCACAAAATCACTATTTATTTTTTAATTGAAAAAAAAAATAGTTCATTTTTCATACTTAAAAGATAAGTAATTACCGTAGCATCCCTTGACGCACGCAAGAACATTCATATTCATCATATATAATATGAATATTGCTGAAGCTGTTAGCTGAAAATCTATATATACGGTTAAATGATATGATTAATTTGCTTTAATAATCTTTTACGGCAGAGTGAGATCCATCGATCATTTGATTCTTTCTTCCTGAGGAATCTTGGGATACCTGGGATACCCATTTTTGCAAGCCGAAATCTGCGTAGATATCAAAAGAAGAACATGTTAATGCTTTGATCACTTTTTTTTTTTTATTTGTTTCTTCGGATAAACATGTAACATCAAAATATGGTGTGTGTGTGAGAGAGAGAGAAAGAGAAAGAGGTAGACACGTGGAAATAAGTTGTTGGTGTCTTCTGACTAGGTGAGAGAAACCTATAATAATCAACTGTTGTTAATGGGCAACCTTCAACTTGCAAGGTGCCCAAATGGGTTGGCAATATTGAAGGCCGTGATCTTAGCCTAAAATTATTATTTCGCATCAAAATAAGTTAACTTATCTCAGCATACCGCACATGATCATATACATACCTAGATATTTGTAAATTATATATTATCTACTTTATTCATCAACTAAGGGCGGCACCAACATGAAAACTAGATTTCATCTCAATATATAATGTTTTGATTCGAGTTTTGTAAATAAAAATAAATATAATTAAAAATTCACTAAAAATATTAGTCAAATTTTTTTTAATAAATATATTGTACCAATAATATAGTCACTCAGAAAATCAACACTATTTCCTATTTTATATTATAAACGTTTTATATGTGAGAGACCGAGTCTTATTTTGATTAATAATAAGAAAATGAAAAGTTTCATCAATGTTACAATTTTTTATTGCGAAATTCAACGATTTGGAAGAATAATTTGCCCTTGCATGTTTTGATGAGGAGCCCAACTTCCCCATATGCCCAATTTCCAACCAACTCAACTAGGCTGTGTTTGAAAAAGTCAACAAACTATGTTGCTAAAGCTGAAAATATTGAAATAATATACAGAGCAATTTGAATTTTGCTTTCTAGCATTCAAGAGAAATTGTACCCAACCAAACTATTGACCTTCCAGAGAGCCATGAAAATCAAGCAACTATACTACTATTACTAATCACTAACCCCAATTAATAACGAAGTTTCCTTGTTCAACCCAAACGGTACTTACACGGGGCCCCATTCTCTCAAAAATTCCCATTACTTTCCCTCCGTGTCCCCTCCGCGTCACCAAAACAATAAAGTAAAACTAGAAACTAATTTGATCTTTCACTAAAAAGATACCAACTTCCAAAATTACGCTACTTTGCAAAATTATCTTGTTCCACTCACACGCAATTATTTTAATTAATTTCAAAAATTAATAATTAGCCTTTGGTGTATGTATGATTTGAGGGGAAGATACACTTACAGCTTCAATGTCAATTTTGTAGACCAAAAGCTTCCTCCTTTCCCTGCAACTTGTTCTGTAGGCCACGACAACATGCCCCACTGCCAACGTACAAGAACACACGAACAGAGTGGCTCCGACATACCCACTTCGATCGAAACCAGAAACACTGAAGATGTAAACGGCTTTGAACGACACGAACATCAGAGACAAAACGGAACACATCGTCGTGATCCCCAAATAAGGCCCTCGCGAAAGCCTTGGTCCATCACACAAACTATAAACACCTAAAAAAAAATTAACAACCCATTTAATAATCTTCAAAAGGTTCCCCGAAAATCACAAAAAAATCACACCTTGTAAAGTGGGTGTAAACAAACAAAAAAATTGTTATTTTTTTTCATATAAATTGTTGGGTCACTAAGTGTGAATATGCACTTACAGAAGATGATGAAGGATCGAATTAAGGAGACGAGGGGTATGTCAATGAGGGAGTAACGAAAATCGTAGTTGTGGAAATGGGAAGCTAGATTTTCGAAGGAGAAGGAAGAAGGGGAGAGAGTGGAGAGAAGAGCAGAAGGAAGAAGTGCATCGGCAATAACGAGGAGAATTGGGGCTGAGAAGAGAAGAAGCGATATAACCATAGTGATCAAGAAGAACAAAGTCTTGAAGCCCCTCAATATCCTCTTGGATTTCTCTTCTTTTGAGGAAAAACCCATGTTGGATCCTATGATGATTTGCGGATTCTGGCTAGCTCGATCAAATATATGTGGTCTTGTTGCAAAAGAAAAACAAGTATTTGTTTTTGTGTTGTTGTGCTTACAAGGGGTACGAGGGAGGAGGCTTAAGATTAAGAGGGTGAAGAATTAGAGAGGAAGGTGCAGGCCAAGGTGCAGCAAATTTGACCGGACTTGTCTACTCTTTGAGTGATGACAAATGCTATTGGGACTTTATTCGGTCATATAAAGGAGCCACGACCCTTCACACTTTCTCTCTCCTAACCAACGGCAATACCTAAAACCTTATACCACAATTAACTATATCTGTCTTTCCATCTTATTTTATTATCAAAAATACTTAATTACAGTATCTATCAAATTCTATTAAATATTTCATTTGGTGTATATATTTTTTAAATAATAAATAATAATATTAATAATTAATAATTATTATTATAGAGATAAAATTCAAATTCAAATACAACACCAATTCATCTATTAAATATTAATAATTTTTAAATATTTTTATTAAATAAAATATAAAAATAAAAAATATCTCAATCCCACTAATTATAATAATAATTGTTTTTATGCTAAAAATGTATATGTATTTAATTAAACAATATTTATTATTAAAAATTATTCTTTATTTATATTATCAATATAATATATATTGATATATTATTAAAAAATATAAATACAATTTATAGACGTTAAATATATATTATTAATTTTATATTTAAAAATAATATTAAAATTATACGTGAGTTTATGTTAAATAAATTTATAGCAATATATATTATATTTATAATAATATTTCTATATGATACAATATGTAATGTTTTTATAGTATTTAATAAGAATTAAAACTGTATTTATATGATATGCATAAAATATGTGCATATATATATTACTGAAATTTATATTACCCTATATTATCAAATAGAAATTTTAATTTAATTGAGAAAAGAAATGTAATATTGTACTTGTAAGTTTTCTTTTTTCCTTTTTTATTTGGTGAGGGCAATTCACTGTGTGGCTCTGGCAAGTGGCAACTGCCAAACGACCTTCTAGATCCTCGACACGTGTCCATCTGTTGCTGTTCTTAACCATGCTGGATGGGTTCATGTACGACGTCATCTCGTACGTAATGTGTTTCCGCTGGGGTGAGTCTTTTTAATTCTTGAGGTTTTTTTTTTTAAAGAAATATTATGTGTTGTTCCATTTTAAAGGATCAACTACAAAACCTTCCTTGTATGCGAGCCAGATAATAAAAGGGGAAATGTAAATGCTTTTTCCATTTTGTTTATTTGGATGGATTTGAATGGTAAAAAGAAAGAAAGAAAAAAATAAATAAATGTCGCAAGAAATGTAACAAGAAAGAAAATGATATGGAAAATGAAAAAAAAATTATGTGTAAAAAACTTGGATACAATATTATTAGAGTTGTTATACAGTTGTCGTATTAGAATGTGGAGTTTCATTAAATGTCAATATGTATTATTAAAATAAAATTTTAATCTTAATTGAAAAATTATTCAAATAATATCTAAGTTTTATCTTTAATATAATTTACTCGTAGAAAAATTGAAATGTCACATGATATATATAATATAAATCAAACTAATTATGAGTTTGTTTAGATAATTTTCTTTAAAAATACTTCTAAAAAATCAAATATTTTTAAAATTAAATAAATAAATTTTTTAAAATTTATTTTTTTATCTTTTTAAATGTTATTTTTAACTTATACAATAATAATTTATTTCTTATTTTTTTTATCTATATCAAATTTATGCAAACAAATCTTATAATTTAGAGCAAGAATATATATATATATATATATATATATATATATATATATATATATATATGTGTGTGTATTAAATATTAATATTAAATAATTATATTTAATTTAAGGTATTATAAATTAAATATTAATATTATATATATATATATATATAATATTAGAGTTTATTAAATACGAGTTTAGAAACGTTTCTATACTGAAAAATACTCTTTAATCTTAATAAAAGAAAATTAAAAACACTTAAAACTTGTATATGATAATGTTCTGGGCAGCGTTATTTTGTCGTCAAAAGATGATCTTGAAGCATTTGAATATGAGAAGACGTGATTTTTGTATTTGGGGTTAGAAGTCAGAACTGAGAAAGTGTGTGATTACTGATTACAATATTTCTGCTAATCAAGCGGGTATGGTGGAACCGAAAGATTGGTGGCATGTGATCACATGCTGTATTTTGTCTTTTCGAGTCATACTCATGCACTTTTTATTTTAAAAACATGAATACAATGAATTTTGTTTTGTTCTGTAGATGGGCACATATACAAAGTAGAAACTAAACTATTACTAACTGTAATGATGTGATAATATATCTATCTCTCTCTATATATATAATATTATTTGCGATTCATGCAGCCATAATTGAATATAATTCACCAGCATTTAGATCAATCATTTTAGCATGTATGTATTCTCGTCCTTCTTCGTTGGCATGGGATTCTCTTACTCCACAGACTTTTAATATATTTTGTTTTGTTTTTGTTAGAGTTATAAATTATGATTTGCAACAGACAACCGAATGTTGGATATATATATACATAGGTGGCTTCAAATAACACCGGTGTAACTTTTACTAAGTGTTACATACTATATCAAAATTAATTTTCTGTGATAATTATATTATTATTTCGCGACCATATAAATGGTCATTATTTTTTTTACCAGCATCTAAATAAAGGCTGGTGTATCCAGTGTTGCTAATACTATTACCGACATTTATATAAAATGTTAGTAAAGATCTATTAAATTGTCGAAAAAAACTTATTTTTTTAGTGACAATTCTAGTAGTCATTTTAAAGGCTATTAAAAGTTATTTTTTCCAATTGTCTCATTTACTTTAAATAATTTATTCTTATAATTTCTTTTTCTAAATTCATAACTTATATATTTTTTTTATCTCTACTCGATGTGGGATTTGTAAGATAAGGGTTGTCTTTTATTTATATATTTTTAATTTATTTTTTTAATTATCTTGTCTCTTAAGAAATGTGAGATTTATAAGATGAAAGTTGCTCTTTAATTGTTTTATAACGTTATTGAATTTGGTAATAATGGGTAATTTGATACCAATTTAGAATAGTGAATTAGGACTTAACACTGTAAAATGAACCTGTAAGGTGATAGTTATTACTCACTTATATACTATTTAATTATCGTATCTCTAATCGATGTGGGACTTAATTTTTTTCTAATAAATAATTATCGCTAATAGTAAACTTTAGTGTAATATAAATACATTTTTAGTGACTATTATATATTAGCCATTAATATTTTTATATATGACGGCAATTAAATTATTGCCATTAAATAATTGTTGTTAATAACAAATTTTGTTGTAGTGACACCGCTCAATAACTTTATATTAAATGTGAATTTTGAAAATCCAACTATTAGATTGAAAGTTCATTACTCTTAGATCATATATATCAAATTTTATATTAATCTAAGATGATTTGATACTTCATTTTTATAAAATAAAATTGACGTAATATATTCATTTCAAAATATACTAAAATATGAACACTTTGATCACCTTCAAGTTGTTGTTCAATTTTAACAAAATTTGATATACACGTATAAAGTGATATGAACTTTCAATTTAACCACTACAAGAAAAATGCTAATTTCTGACAGAAATTTTTTACAGAAAAGGGAAAATTTCGGATGGATTTTGTTTTTTCCGACAGATTTAAATCCGTCGAAAAAAGTGGCGTCGGAAAAAAAATTCATCGAAAATAATTTAATCCGTCAAAAATTTTTGACGGAAATATCTGTCAGAAAATTTCAACGGAATTGTCCGTCAGAAATTTTCGATGGATATTTCTGTCAAAAATTTTCGTCAGAATTTTTTTTTTAATTTTAATAAATTTATTAATGTAATAGTCATCATATTTGGCCTTAAGGGTTCTACTTCATAACATTTCACTTTTTAGCGTATTTTATCCTTACTTGCGCAATTTGTGAAAAACTTCCCATAAGATCACCCATCTCTATACTACTCCAGGTCAATCAAGCTTAACTGTGAAGTTCTCATAAGTAAGCTACCGAAATGTATATATATGTTATCAGTATAATTTGTACAAATTAATTCATTTAAATCATCCTCAAATATACAATCTCATACTTGTACTATAATAATATATAATAATTTTATATTACGAATAATAATAATAATAATAATAATAATAATAATAATATATTCAATTATTCTTTATTTATATGTACTTACTTTTATAATTAAAATCTATTTATTTCTACTTAAAATTATAATTTAAATTATTTAATTTTATAATTTATAATGAGAATATAATTTATAAAATTATAAATATTTATTTATTACATACTTATAAATTAAATTTTAACATTTTAAATAAATTATTAATTAATTTAATATATTTATTTACCTTAAATCAAACATATAAAATTCAAAAAAATGTATTTATCCTTGTTTTATTTTCTAATTATCAACTATTAATAAAATACTAACTTAAAATCTTATCTAATTATATATAATATTCTCATATCAAATTTAAAACCAGATATTAGTTATACAAAAATATTAAGATCATATAGTAAATTGTCAATAAGATTTTAGTTAAATAATTTAAAATAATTAATGTTTCAATTATATTGTTAATTAGCAAATAATTTATTCCAAAACTAATTAATTTTTTTATATTAATTATTAGTAAAATTTAATAACTTTTAATTTAGCAATTAATTGGATCGATGAAATTCAACACACACCATGAGTTATTGCACGGAATAACTTTACCAAGAGTTATTTTGTAAGTTATCTTAAATCAAACATATAAAATTAAAAAAAGTGTATTTATAACCCCCTCATATATATATATATATATATATATATATGAGAGAGAGATAAATTAGTTAATTTACATCTACTTAATTTTTTAGAATAAATATTTTAATAAGTTATAATTTTTATTCTTTTGATATAAATCCAAAAAGTATAATGTATTAAAATGTAGGCGTGGCTAACAAATCTTATATACGATTGCTGTTTTTATATTAACTAAGTTTATGTTTACAGTGCGATATACCGGTAGTTTAATATAATAATAAATATATTAAATAAATTATATTTATTAGTTTCATATTTTAATTTATATCTC